TTGGGTACGATAACTGGTCATGGTTTATGTACTGGTCTCGCTGTTATTGGAGGTAGGTTAATGGCTGCAAAGATTTCCATAAAAAAAGGTAAATTTTTTTAATCTTAAAATACTATCGATGATTAAGTTGATTAAGTTTTTAATTTCCTAATCTAATGCTATACTTTTATTCTTAATATTTTAAAGTTACTATGCTAGGAGCTATTCTTTTTATCTCATTTTCATTAATATATTTATATGAAAGTATATATGATGATTCATAGGATCGGTTATGAGACTGGACATTTTTTCATTTAACATTCTTTTAATTTTATAATGGTATTTTATATGCTTTCATTACTATATATTACATGTCAAGTTTAGATTTGAATGCGTGTTTAATAACCGTACAATGAAGTAAAAAATGTAATGGGGATGGATTTTATTTTTATTTTTTATTATAACATTGTATGGACATTTATTTGGGTAGATGTGCAAAAGTCGTTGGATATAATATATATATATATATATACATTTATACATATAGTCTATATAAATTTAAAAAATTTGTGAAAAAGATAATAAAAAAAAAGAAAAAAAAGGTTGCCTTACTTTTGGCAAGTTACATAAATTTGATTACTCACGGTGCAGTTATCAGACATGAGAATAATTAGATAAATTTATAAATAGATAAAGTGTATTAAGCGGGACTCTGAATAACCTAACAGGGGTTATCTTGTGTTAAACCAATTAAGTTTTCAGTTTAAAAAGATTTGATTAATATTAGCCATATTAGCCACTTTCACACAACCTTTTTATTATAAATATTGTTCGGGATTCTTATTAGGCAAGTTAAAATTAGTATAAATCAAAGTGCAGAACGATATATTACAATTGATCTATTATATATTTTCTATACAGAGATCATAGAAGGAAATAGGACACTTATATTACACGTATCATAGCGACAGATATTGCCTCTATTAATCATTAATTATTGAAATTATTCATGAAACAGTGTAATGTGTATAGAATGAATATACAGTATATGAATTATCTATATTAAAAATACCCACATCTAACCTTTTTTAAAACCTTGAACGCCCTGTTTACCTTTTCCAGTTAAATAACCCTGTTTCTTCCACCTATTCAATCTTTTCTCCGTGATCTTTTCCCATTCCAACTTTTTCTTTTGATTCTTACTCATGATTACATCTTTGTCTGAATCACCACCTCCCGTAAAATAGGTTTTTAAACCTTCAGGCGATACGTCATCTAACGTATACCTACCATACTTGCCATTTCTATATTGTTTAATGAAAAACATTGCAGATTTATTTAAATCATATTCACCATATTTTTGTAATGCGCCAATACGTTTCGAAATTTTCGGAAGTAGAGCTTCAATCGAGTCTGTCGGATGTGAAAGTTTGAATTTTTCAACGTAACTTTTAATTTAAATATAATATATTTGACTTGATTAATAAAAATTAATAAATTTTGTGTAAACGAAATCAACATTATGACGTAAATACCTAAAGTTTCCAAAATTATTTAATCTCCAAAGTAAATAGTCCGCCATAACTTCTTCATCTGATAAATGGTCTCTGATGCCACCTAACAAGAAAACAAAGCTATAATATACGATGATCAAATTAAAAGATTTACAATTAAAATCCATACCTGTCAATGCGACTTTTAGGGAAGCTACAGGATCAGTAATATGAGGTATCATAACACCTGCAGAATAATTATCATAATCAGTTAAATCCAAATTAAATAATAACGAGAATAAATGTCGCGGCTGAAGCTGGAAATTAGGGACCTTGATATAAAAATATAAACCCTACCAAAATCCACTTATACTCTTTTATTATTAAAACTACCCCTAAACCCTAACTTAACCCTAAAAAAAACCCCCTTAACAAAAGGCCCAAAATTTTTTGAAAATTTCATATTAAAATAATTAAAATTTTAGCTTCAGCCATTTCCAGCTTCAGCTGCGACAATAAGTATTAAATTTAAAGTATACCGGGGGTATCGATCAAATAAACTGTTGGGTCTTCCAATACTTTAATTGACGTAGCGGAAACGGATCTTGTCACACCCGGTAAAGCACCAGTCTTTGCTGCATTTCCTAATATAAAAAATATTCAACATATTTAGTCGATTAAATTAAGTTTTAAAAAGAAACCAATTACCTTTATGTATACCAAGTCTTCTCATAGAATTAATTAAAGATGATTTTCCAACGTTTGGCATCCCAACCACCATAACAGTGACATATGGATATTTTTCTGGTTCTTTTACTGCTTTATCTAATAATAAAATATTTTCAATTCACAAAAATTTACAAGTGTTATAAAATGTTATTTAAATGTTTAAATAATAATGATAATAATGAAATATCAATTTTATAAATACAATACTTGCTGCAAAGTTGATTATCATCTTTACATTCTTATCCGTATTGGCATCTGTAAAAATTACGCGCTGTTTACAATATTCTCTAAATGCATTTGTTATTGCCTTTGTAAAAAAATCATTTGAAAAAAAAAAAATCATTAAACTCTCATTTTATTATTTTTTATAATAAAATAGAATATATATAAAATTACCGCTTGTGCACTTTCATCAGCCAAATCTGCTTTATTATAAACTATAATTCGATCTTTTAACTTTGCTATATCTTCAAATTTATTATTTATAGAAGATAAAGGAATGTATTGAGGTTTAGAATTTGTTTTCATGTTAAGGCGTTAATCTGATAATTCGTAAGAGAATTATGAATTAATTAATCGAATTATATCGATATATATATATTAAAATTTAAAGGATATCCTAGCATCCCTTACTTCAACAACTACATCTACACCTGATAATCTTTCAGAAATTACTCTTAATCCTTTAGCCATATGGCCTGGAAACCAATTTATAGCTTTATCAAAAACGAAATTTGGACGAATTGTAAATAATGATGGTGATATCATATTAACGTTAATTTGTGTTAAAAAGATGCTGATTAACGTTTATATATCAAAAAAATGTGGATCTGCAAGATAGCATACAAACACTTGATTGGCAGCAAACATCGCATAGATGCATGTATACTGTGTTATATATATATAAATTACACGTAAAATGAGTAATTTAAAGTTATCAATAACGTTGTAGTTATTTTTAAATTTTTAATATGTTTTTTTATACAAAAATAACATTACAATAATATTAATATTTATATAGAAATTTTCTAGCAACATTCTCGTTCAAAATGAATAAGCCTTTTTTATTATTAAAATTAAAATATTTTTATTTAACGTTAACAAATATTAAGTAGCATATTTTCAAACATTGCCATACGATATATTTTAACCGATTAATAACCTTTTACTTACCGGCATTTATTATTAAGTCGCTTTATCCAGTTTTCATCAAATCTTTACAACCACATCGTGTCATGTTTTTTAATCGTGTTTTTTTTTTCTATTTTTCACAGCCTTCTAAAGACAATTAATTTTTAAGACTCTCAACCAAATTTTAAATGCATTCACTTTCTCAATTACAAAAATGGTAACCTTAATTTAAAATTAGCAACCCAGTATTGAACCAAACCATTACATTAAGGATAAAAAAAAAAAAAAAAAAACTGTACAAAAACAACGAAAATCTATTTTATAGATTTATTAAAACGTTCGTTAACTTAGCCATATCCCTCCAATTCCCATGTTGATACAGGATTAGTTTGTGTACCTATTTCGAATTTGCGGACGAATAAATGTGGATAAACTAATTTCTTATTGTATTCATTCATAATTTCACCCGCAATCAATTGTTTATCTTTGATTAATTCTTCGTAAGCTTTGACAACCAATTTTAACTATTAATCAAAAGCGAGTAAGTAATTGGATTACTTGCAATTATTTTCGTTGCTAAGAACCACTTACGTTAAATCCAACAAAAGCAGCGGCCAGAAGGATGTGTTGATAATTATCGGCATCAAGATACTGGAGGATTAAAACTTGCGCAGGAGAGTAATAGCTGAAATATATATGTATATAAGTTATCTTTTATAGGCAATGCCAATCAAAATATTGGATATTTACCAGAAAATATTGAGAAAAAAAATTGGCGGATCCCATGTTCTAATGACCCACACATAGTGACGTTCTTCGTTACCAATCAAATCATCAAAAAACCAAGAATACAAGGTATAGCTACAAATATTAGAAATAAATTAAATAACTATACTAAGTTATATAATATAAATTCTTTATAGTAGAATAACTCACATAATATTTCCAGGGAACGAAGACATCCAATAATTATTATCTCCAATTTCTTTCAAGTAAGCATTTGGTGAATTTGGACGACTCTTATAGATAAACCAATATATGTGTCAGTAATTTTTGAATCATTTAATCATCATATTCTCTCTTCAAGAGGCAAAATATTTGTTTATATGACTATTACTTCGATTTCGTGCTCAAACATTTGATATTCCTTAAAAGACATATATACGAAAATAGCATTTGCGATACTCAAAATCAATAACATCCATTCAAAAAACGCTAGCTATATATTTAAAAAAAAAAAAATTAAGTAATTTAACAAGTTTTTCAAGGGAGACAAGAAAAGAGCTAATACATACCCAAAGTGCAAATGTAGTCATTCGGGGGTTAAAAACTGGATCATATTTTGAACTGTCAAACCAATAACCAAGACGAAGAGATATCGAAAGTCCATTCAAAAATAAAGAGGCCGGCCAACTGTTCGTTTTTTTTTTTCAAGTAAATAATTATTTTGCTCTATCAATATATGTAATATATACCATTTTACCCACCTTAACTTTTTATAAATACTGTCCCAATCATTTAAAGCCCAGTCTTCTTGTAATTCAACCAGCTTATTGCCCGGCCAGGTTGTGATTCTTTCCCACAATGGCACCCGCCTTATTACTCTTCTGTGGCGATTTCGTTCAATAGAATCAGGCATTTTTTAATATTAACGAATGTAAAAGGTATCTATCTATGTGATACAAAAAATACGTATGTGTTAAAGAATAAAGATGCTTGATCAGCATATTTATATGCCGAGTATAATACGTTTTTAGTTGTGTTACGATCAAATAAAAATTAAAATAATAATGAACCGCGTCAAAACGCGACATTATGTCTTCAAGAATCTCGAAAACTATTGAACGAGGGTCACGTGCTTAATTTTTAAATTGCATCACATGATGAAAAATTAAGATAAGCTTATTATGTTATGACGTTATATAAGCAAATGAGGTTTCCGTTTTTTTTAGGTTGGTTATAGGAAAGCTAAATTCCAACGAAATAAATTCAAAAGCTTCGAATAAATTCATAATTTTTCCAATAAAACAAGATAAAAATTTGATGTGTTTTTGATATAAATTACGGTATTAAATAAAATCCTGCATATTATCGATTTCCTATCAGGGCCGGCCATTTACTGCACCGATGCCCATTGTTTAAAGTATCGCTTTTGATACACCAATCGAACTTTGTATATCGCGAATCAAAAATGAATGGCCGGTAAATTAATAGGTATTTTATGCCCTGTTTCCTGTACAATTATCTTCTAGTCACTGTTAATTTTCAATTAAAATTTACTGTGCGGATTGCCGCACAAAAAAAAATACACGAGAACTAATTGCGCACAGTCCGCACAGTGAAAAATTATCACTGCTTCTAGTGATAATATAGCATTGGATGTTTGGAACTAATAGGATATGCCCATGTAAAAAGGCTTACACGGATACTAAGTACTACTTGATATAATGGATTTACTAATAAAACTCATAAAGCGGATTTTAAAAAATTCCTCACTATGTGCCCGAGGTACTACGTTATATAGAGAGTGACGTGTACTTATAAATCAAATGAGTTGACATACCTAATTTTATATATTTAAATTGAATTTATTTAATATTTAATATACATATATGTTATACGTCGCTTTGGAATTTATGTAAATTCCGAATTGGTATAAGTCATTTTGGAATCAGAATTTGATATATGTTATATAATAATTAGTATGTCATCAATGATTATGATACCAATTAAAAAATGTCGCGGACTAACATGAGGACTGCCAACTAAAGGTAGTCCCGTGATTTTTATTAGAAATTTTTACAATTTAAAAACTAACGTGAGGTTGACCTTATACATTAACCCCACCCTAAAACCCTAATTCTAATCTAGATTTTAACCCTAAATTTGCACTATAACACCCGAATTCCTTGTTTAAAATATACCGTATTTGCCTGTAATAACGCACAGGTGCGTTATTTTGAGACACGGCCTGAATAAAGCTTAATTTAGGCCGAAATTCAAAACTACACCCCTGTGCGTTATTACAGGCAAATACGGTAAGTATGAAACTCCATTTTTTTATTCGATTTAGTAAAGAAAAAAAAATGCAGCATTATTTTTCTAATTTAGAATTACTAACTGATTCACGAATTCAAAATTAATAGAAATAGCATTTATCCTAAATCTTTGTAGACAACAAATAAAAAAAATTATAGAGGTGACACGACTAAAAGACAAGTAAAAAGATTTGAAGTTAGTGAAATAACCAACATGAATACAATGTTAAAGTTTTAAAATTAAAAATCACCATTGTTATTCTTTTTAATATGACGAACCCTTTTGGTAAGATATCATATAGTACTTCCTTCAGGTGTCTCAATAATAACAATCTTGTTGTTATTGGTCATATTAACAACCTTTCCGGTTTTTTTAAATGTAGTTTGTAGTTTTCACTTTCAGGTTATTGGATTTATATCAGTATCAGGAGCTAAGGCAACAGGTTGACCAGGCTCAA